AGTGTTTTATTCACTATCTACCTGTTTATTTTACATGTTCTCTTTGGTTTGTATTTCTGAATTTTAAGCTGCCTTGTTCTTTGGTGATGGTGTTTTTAATTCTTTAATTCTTAAGCCTTCCTTGATTGTCTCTGTATTGCATGTTTTCACTGTCAAAGCACCTTGTGAACACTGTTCCTGAAGGTGCTATATAAATAAAGTTATTATTATTATTACTTAAATACAAGTACAGAGCATCTATTCCAATATTTGCTGATAACCCGCTTGTCGGAAAAAGCCGCTACTCTTCCCCTTGTCGGATTGTCCTGACATCTGATTTATTCTGATATCTTATCTTACTGCAGATGCACATTACTTCCACAGTCTTCAGATTTTATTTGTATCACTGGCTAAAACCCCGCCTTAGGAGTCTGTGTTTAACTGTGAAACATAGTAATTTCTGTAGTTTGACAGACTTGAGTGTGCGTCATTTAGAATAACAATTAGATCACAAAAGACGAGGAATCATCTGAGGTTACAGCCACTATGAATCAACCACAACTGCTTCAATTACAGCCTGTTATTAGATCACACGTTATGCTGTGTTTGCTTCAAAATTCTGCAGACTTTGCTAGAATTATTTCTCCTCCTTAAGAGACCGATATTATACAAATCTGAGGTCAAAATGGCAACTGGAAGCTTTGGAATGACACCCTCACATGACTCAACGAAGAATCACAGCTTTAACGACAGCACTGCTTCAGTGGAGGCGCTAAGTGGCCCACAGTTGAAGACTGTGGTTACCTAGGCCTCAGTTAGTGTAACTATAAATGTAAAGTGGCTGTGCAAACATTCTCCATAATAATAAAGGTTGAAGAGGCAGCTTAACACCCACCTGAGTGATAGCTTCCAGCTCTGCTAAAACAGCGTCATCATCCTCCTGTGTCAGAGCTCCAGCCAACAGTTCATCTATTTGCTGCAGGTGCAAGAAAAATATACTGAATGTCTTTAAAAATTCTAGTTTAAGCGGCCTGTAGCCTCTAAATGTAATGCAAAAGATTGACTTATTACAAGATAAATAAACAGTATTTTTTAACTTTGCTTTTACAGCTCTTGTAGTGTAGTTTCATCAAACTTACATTGATATTAGGCATATGCTTAGTGCTGGGTTTAATGAACAAGTATGAGAAAAGTAGAAATAGTTCTGTACAGGTGTATTTGACTAACATCAGTAATGCATTTACCCTCTGATATTCAATTGATTCCTGGGTCTCATCCAGGATTCTCTCCACATCTTCTATTGACATGATCTGTCACAAACAAGGAAGAAAGCCCCCATTACAGAAGAAATGTATTTTTAGATGAAAAGTGTTTTCAACATATTCTGGCTGGCTTGTGAATTTTCAAAGCGAGATCTATACACTGTATCCAAGGATGTGCAGCAGTCACACCGCTGTAGTCAAGGCTTTTCTTCTTAATCCTTTAATCTTCAAACAATGTGCCCCAGCTATGCTAACACAAACTGCAAGCTTTCTCTGCTGCTCACTCTTCACCCGAGGATCACATTAAAGAAACCATGCTTATCAGTGGAAACTCTGACATTGTTAAGAGTACACACTCATGTATATAGAACTTAAGGGGTTGTAAATAAAATGAATGCAAAAGCAATGTTTCCAAACAGAAAGTTCGGGGAATAAAGATAGTACCTCGTGCATACTCTTCAGACAGTCATTGCCAACCTTAAGCCCCTCGATGACTTTCATCTCAATTTGCATGAACTCAATATCCTGAACCTGTTGACAAATATCAGCATGTTACAAATCCAGTTGCACAATTAGGCTTTTATGACAAACAAAGCAATAGTTTTATGCGTTTATTTTCTCTTTAAACATTGAACAGTGGTTGATTATGTCATAAACACTTTTAAAAATTAGTAGGGCATCACTAGAGCCTTCAAGAGAGCAACTACATTTTTTTTAACAGGTCAGATAAGGTTGGATTTTGTAGAAAAATCCCATTTCTGTATTGCAAACAAAACAAGATTAAATCATAAATCACTAATCTGGAATGAATGCAAGCCTCTAGGCTAACTCTACTGCAATGTCTGGAGTCAATCCCAACAAACGCATCAAGTATAAATAGGATATTGACTTGTATGGAGGCATAGTGTTGTTCACCTTTGGCTAAACTTATTAGAGATGGAGATCTTTAACTCAATATGTTGCCTACGGAGAGATGTGACGAAATGCCGAATTATAATACAGAGTAGTGATCATTCTATCACGAGGTAACCAAAAAACAATGCTGCAAAACTCACCATGCGCTCCAGGTTTGAAATCTGATTTTCAGTCTTGTCTAGCAGCTGATCCTGATATCGCTTTTTCTTAAGAAGCAGCAGTGCCTTCCTGCAGACAAAGAGCAAAACGTAATGCAGCAAACAGCTCGTCTCATGTACAGTGCAATCACAGTGTGTTTTTACTGTTTCATAACGGTGTGGCTACATGATGACAGATACGGTTTCCGATCTGAACATCTGCTTACTGTTTCTTGCCATCTTTCAGCAGCTGCTTTGCCAGAAGCCGCTCCTTCTCCAGTTGTACGGAGATTCTCTTTTGGTACTGCTTCAGCTTATCTCTCTGCTGTTTCAGTTGCTGGAGGTGGAGGAGAGGGGGCACAGGGTCACACGTGTTGGACAATTTATCAATACAGGTTACATGATGCAGCATTTAAAGTTCATTTCTGCAAATCGATCTGGCTATTTTGCAACATATCACACGAACACAACACAAGCTGCTGACGATGCTCTTATACTGAGGTGACTTTTTACAATATAATGCGGTCTAAAAGTGCTGGAGCTGAAACACCACCTGTCTGACAAGGTGTCAAAATAACACATTTTATCAAGGTATTGTTTTTTTTTTATTACATAACCGTTTCGTGCTGCATAGAGGCTTTATTTTACACTCACAGACACGCTGGACAACACTTTCCAAACAAATGAGCACCGTTGAAGCACAAATGAGAGTAAAATGCAGCAGCGTCGCTAGCAGTTCGGCTAACATTAATCCGCCGTCCAACCGCTAGCACAAGCCTTGGCTTCAGCCGCCATCAGCTCACCAAGATGGCTTTGTCTTGCTCCGTTACACGAGAAGGTCGACTCTTTCTCCCAAAGACGTTTCCCATTATTTAGCCACATCCCCGCCACATCCTCCTTCATCAGCAGACGAAAACGTTACTGTTTACTGAACATTTTGTCACAATAATAATGAGCCTAAAATGGCTAGCAGGCTTACTGACTACACCATGGCCACAGTGTTTCCGTGTTTCCTACGGCAAGCGAGGCAGGACACAGGAGCCGTAGCGACTTCGCTCTGACTTCTGCCTGAAATAGTCAGCCCTGTTGTGTTTTCATGTGAATTACAGCACATCTTATCAAATTAAAAGGAGTTGTAAACATTCATTTCAAAGGGAAGGCATGGAAAAGGAATCCTGTTCACCAAGATATTCACAATAACTTGGAGAGCTCCCTCTGCTTCTAAGATCAGCACCTTGGACAGAGATCATAAGCTTACCAAAATCAACTATACCAAAAAAAGTTCACTTCAGCAGAATAGAAATGGGAATGTCACAGACTACTCATAGTATGAGTTCAGATCAGTGAAGTAAGCAACACCAGGGAGAAATAATAATAGCACTAATATAATAATAACAATAATCATCATCATCATCATCAAAAGAAAAACCTGCTTTTGTAATTGAGTCACAGCTAAGGTGAATAAAGGATGATTGTAGAACGATTGGGCATATTTTGGATGAACTGAATTCTAAATACTTTAATTTTCTATAGTCACCTCAAGACACAGCTCGGCCTCACAGTGCAACGGTCCACCAAATACACATTTTAAAGGAGAAAAGTGACAGGAGCACTGCTGTTGTTAATCTAAGCCCCGGTGTTCATGAAAAGGATGTAATAAAGGAGGGTGGATAACTTACAATCAAGAACATGGCAAACATCCATTTCAAGCAATCAGATGAAAAGTAAAAGGTCTTAACTATAGTGGGCTAGAGACATTAAGAACACATCAATGTGTGTCAGACTCTAAGGTCATCATATAGCATATGCAACACAGGAAATATGATTTGAAGAAACTATATGAAGAGTTCATTTGCAAAAACAGATAACTCCATTGTTGCAGATTTTCAGAATGTTGTTGTTGTTATTGTTGTTTGCTTGAGATAATACCAATCAAACTGAACTTGAGTAGATTTGACCAAGTAGAAATAACATGACAAAAATAGAGATAACTAAAGTTTGATTGATATTGTCTCAGGTATACGATGGAAAAGTGGGTTTTCTGAAGGTTTGTGAAGATGGAGTTATCTGTTTTTGCAAATGAACTCTTCATGTATTGATACTGCTATTGTTGTAGTATTGTAGCTAGTGTATCTGTCATTTTGGGTTTATCTTACAGACGAAACTTGAGCTAGATGTTTGATTCCTATTGTGGATTTTATCCACCATTGTCTACACTAGTCTCAACTAGGAAAATGTTTTTTTAACAGCCAGTGAGAGGCCTTTGCTTTAGTATTTCCTGTTTTGTATTTCTTGAACGATGGCTCTAGAGGCCAGAGGGAAACAATGATGCAGGTACTCGGTGCTGCGCACCTGTGATGACTCCAACTATAGTTACCCTGTTTCTTTGTGTCTCCACACGCTGAGGACGCTACAAGCCGACATGCATCAGTGTGTGTTTTTTACACGTCTCTGTCCCACTGATATAAGACCTTCTACTTTGCAAACCCACCCTGAGTGACTGGATGGGAACTTTTTTTTTTTTTTTTTTTTTTTTTAATGGTAATGTTTCCACCCTCCTTTAAAATACAAATTTGATCAATAATATGAAGTGAACTGGGAAGAACAAGAGGACAAACAACTGCTTCAAGCTGGTTTTACCTGACAGGGTTTAAGGTGAGACCTAACTGTAAAGTAAACCCTGTGATCTACACAGTTTTGTTTTGATGCATAGCTGTCCAGTCAGATTAAGGTCTTCTGCAAAGATGCACATGTATACTCCAGGATAAGGTGGAGTACACATGTGCAAAGATGCACATGCATACTCCAGGATAAGGTGGCATCACGTTTTTAACAGAGCACACTTGTGCCCACAAACATTAGGGGCAGGGATTAGGGTCAGAAGTGGATCAGGTTGAGCATCCCTGGCACAACTTCTCATGTTTTTAAGGTGCATGGTGAACAATAAAAGTCTTACGTGGTCGAAACTGCAACAATTCTTGAAGTATAAAGAACAATTTTATTGTGGTCAGATTTGAAACATTGAGACTTTCAATCCGAGAGGACAGTGCTTTCAACCAGAGAAGATGTTGGATTTTAGGTGTCTGTTAAAGAGCGTTGGATTTTGAGAGCTGCTCAAAACCACATAGTCTGTTTGGTCCTTTTGAAAGCTGACCAAAGTCACTTGATAAATAACTGAGAACCAAGCCTCTGAAAGTTTTCAACTTTTTGTTAGATGGTTTTATGGAGCAGGTACATTGTTTTAACTTTTTTTTTTTCTAGATTTATGCCACAGACCAAGGATATTATGCCATGTGACCTCTTAAGGAACAGGTAACGCCAAATCTCAATTAGCCTATTAGCATCAGTTAAGGTCATTCTAGGCTATCAGAGTGATAGTAAAAGAGTAAAGAAGGAATCAGTGAGTCTAAATACAACCTTTTATGTACAAACATTAGTTACGTTTGATACATCATCCAACATGTAAAACAGCATACAACAGATTTGTCCAATAATGTAAAATACGACTTCTCATTCACAAGACTCAGTGGCTACATTAACCTGACAACAAACTTAAAACTTTTGCATATCAAGTTCGTATTCTATCAGCTGACTGTTAGTAGTGGCACTGGATTTCGTATTCCAAAATGAAATATTATTATAACACAGCAACTGCTTTGATGTACTGATAATTATGTTTTCATTGTCTTCCTTGCTGTGGCAGTCACAGCACACTTATAAATGCCAGGGTGTTAAAATTTATTACATTGTGCTTAATGAATTCTGGGGAATTTTCCCTCATCAATGTCTATTTGAATTAACTTTAAAGGCATCTTTGGCTGTTCCAAACAAAACCACAACATTTGGTTTGTAGTCGTTTTCATTACAATGATGAAGTTGAACAGATCAGTTTCATGTCATATTGCACCATTCAGAATGTCAAAAAGGCCCAAACAATGATGATATTAAAATGCTGCCAAACACACGCACAAAAAAACCCCCAAATATTATGATCGAAAGTCGTTTCATAGTCATATTCAGCCACTCACCCCCCAATAAAATACTGACCAATGATTATGTCCATGCACGGCACCAGAATATTGGAAAAAGCAACAACAACGACAACAAAACACAACTTTTTTTTTTGATTCATTCACTTCAAAGGCTTTTGATTTGACTCATGGAAATGCTTACATTTGAGTAATACTGTAGTATTTCCATAAATCATGACAACAACAACAACGACAGTCTTGTGGGGAACCTGTACAGGCTCTCCTTGTTCATAACTGCATTCAGGGCTTTCCCAGCACTGCAATGATGTGTCACTGAGGTAAATGCCTCATATGGCCTGCTCTAATGTCTTAGATTGGGACAGCAGGCCAACACTCCCTTAAACAGGATTACGCCATGAAGCCAGCACTCTTGGTTGGAGCCCAGAGTCTCAGATGGAAGCTCTGAAAACAACTGGGCAGGCAGCAGGCTACACCTGGAAGTCAGTCCCGAAGTGTCTGATCTGGGCGTCAGTCATAGACAGATAAGTGGTCCTCATACTGGGTGAATACTGCGGGGAAAAATACATGAAAATCACAATTTAGCACATTTGTAAAATATTATCACATGAAAAATGAAAATGGTGTGATCTGATCTTGAAGTTTAGGAAACACTTGACTTTGAGTTGCTATTTATTCGGGAAGTTGTGGAATCAGAGGATGGTACTTTGATGTTGAAATGAGTAGGTGAAGTGAAGGCGGAGGGCATAAGTAAAGGGTCAGAGAATAAGTTACACTCACATGCAACACTGTGGGTTAAACAGTGCCAGGAGGTCAAAGCTGAGGTACTGTACGGAGCTTTAAAGGGATCTCTGGGCACTGGGTTATAGGTTAAAATCATTTGCATAGCAAGCATCATTTACAGAGGTAAGTCCACAGTGTGTATGAAGGAGCGGAATGAAAATGAAGTCAAACATATCGGGAAGAAGTTAGACTACAGAAAACTTACTGTTAATAAAAGTCTGAGTCAAAGAATAAAAATAAAAAAAGGTTAGTAACAAAACAGTGGTTAGCATTCAGCAGTTAGATACCTCACTGAAAAACTGCTTATACAGAAACATGAGTAAAATGTACTAAAGAGCTGATTCACAAAAAACATTTAAAAAAAAAAAAGAAAGAAAGAAAAAAGTAGCTCAATATACTGCAGTGTTTACTGCAAAAATATTTTCTTCCAAAGTTTTAAGCATCTCGGTTACAGGAGCAAACAAAGAACACATGCCACCGCCTGTTCAAAATGTGTCTCACACAGGCAAAGTAAAATCTTAAACAATGGTCCACATTCTCTCTCTCCCTCTCTCCCCCTCAAAAGGTGTTTCAAGTCTTTGGTACGCTGTGAAAGAAGTTCAAGCACTGAGTCAGCCATGCAAGCAGAAAACTTAATAAGAAAGAAACTTTAACTGTGGATTTACCAGTGTTCTATTATCTATTATTCAGCCCCAGCTCTTGAGACACAGCACACACATATAGACTATGAGCCCAACATTAAAAGCACATATCTGATGAGGATGAGGAGGCAGTTTTGCTTTTATTCAGCACCACATCATAGGTTTTGTTTTTACACATATGTAAATGTATGCCTAATGTGGATCTTCCATTAATTTGTAAGAAACAGAAATGCAGTCCAAGGCAATGGTGAAAAGAGTTAGTGTACAGAGATGGCACCGGGCTAAAAATAGATGCACTTCAGTCAATGGCCAGCAGAGATCAGTCTTCCATCACTTGCAAAGCAACACAACAGCCCTTTCTAAATGCTCAGTGTGAGGTTGACCACAGTGTATTAGACATTGCGATGTTGATGGTGCATGCTTCCTGTTTGTGCAGTGCTGAGGTCAGTAGCGCTAGCATCGTCATCACACTAGGGACACTAGAGCCTCATAGGGCCAACGCACCGAGGGAGGCGGGGATCCTCTCCCTATCAGTGGCACGTTCTCATATCGAGGAGTCCCTCCAAACAGCATGGACTGATTCCTGTGACACGAAAAGGACAAAAAAGTAGTAAGAGGTGAAACACATATTTAAAAAAACACTGTCATCTGCTATTGATCTTACATGTATTCAGGGGGTTGCATGATATTAGAAGCAGACTGAGGAGGTGGATGAAGGCTGGCCTGGCTGCCAAGGCTGCTGGTATAGCTATAGAAACTGTGTGTGTTGGACCTTCTGGGGTTATAGGATATCCGATGTGCTTGGGGGTTGAACGGGTCTTCCTCATCTATGTCGTCATACTCTTTTTCCCTGGATGAAAGGTGTGTACCCGAACACAGGCAGAAGGAGGGAACAGAGAGACCGCATGTGTTAGCACTTTACAGGACAGCGTTGCGGGCAGTACATAATGGGGTAAAGGGGTCGCTCGGCACTGACCTGCTGCCCATTAGTGTCCACACTCGGAAAATTGCACACAGCATGGTAGAGAGTGCACAGGCAGCCAGGAGAGAAAACAAAGAGAGGTAGAGGAGCCCTTCCACCCCATCGTAGCACACGCCCATCAGGGCGTCAAGATAGTTCTGGAAGAGCCGACACACAGAAAATAAATATAATATATATTAGACACACACACAGCGTCAGTGTTCAGTGAAAATATTTCCGTCTACAAATATAACTCCTGTTTTCAGAGAGACAGACAGAGAGAAGGTGTATCTATTTTTCTTAACCCACAGAGATTACATTCATAAAGTGAAGGGGGGAAAAATATATATATATTTCAGATTTATAGAGAAAAATTGCATGGCCACACAGATGCAGTCTTAGAAAAAAAAAAAGCTTTAGCTTAAGGTATTTTCTGTTGGTATTTAATTGACTCTCATAAATTCCCCGGAGGCGAACCTAACTCTAAACCTAAATGAAACATGGCTATACATAACATTACAAAACTGACAGCTAACAATAACATTTTTTCCTTCAACCATGCCCCGACAAGCTGAATAGCTGCCAGCCAATTTGTACTGAAAGATCAGGCACCACATAGAAGAGACGGAGCAGGTGTCCAAGAGATGTTGTTTGTCCCCACATTTAATTTTTAATATTTTGGAAGATAAAAGATCATTTAAGCGATTAGTTAAAAAGGGAAGATTCTGTCTGCGTGTTGGTGGAAAACAAGCAGCCTTTCAGGACAGAGACAGTGAGTGGAATGCAGAAGTCGGCCTTTCAGAGACATTCACGTTACTGTGATGACACGCATTTTACACACACATTCTTAGTTTGCTTTGCTTGTTATACTTCACTAACAAGCTCTGAGCAGCAACACACCGTGACATCACTGTCATGTGCGTTGCCACTGTTATTGAGTTAGTTACCTTTCATGTAAGGAGTGTGTGTGTGTGTGTGTCTGACCTCTCAATCCATCAACCTGCAATCCCCCTGACATTTGCCAATCCGAGCCCATGTGACAACTGGACAAACTCGCCACTGTCCATCTTGGTTTTTATCTCTATGCATTTGTTAAAATATAACACGCCTACCCACAGTACACACCATCATCATCATCATCATCATCATCATCACAGAACAGCCGTTGAGCTGATTGATTGGTTGGTCAATGTGATCTCATTCAATCAAATTCTCATTGGCTCAACAATCACCAATATTACTTCAATAAAGAGCAAAGTGCTACATCAATGGCCTTCTAGGGTTATTCTATTACTCTTGGTAGGGGAGGAACCGACTATGTGTGGACATGCTTTCACACCTCTAAACTCACCCAACCCAACAGACAGTGCCAGGTCTAACTTAGTCATCGGCATGGCTGCAGTTTGTTGAAACAAATGGCCAAAAAAGTTAGTATAAACTTGTCAAAAGTCTGTTTTCATATCACAGCTTAACAACCAAACTTGCAAAAATATTTAAGGACAGTAGGATAACTTCCTGCGTAGTTCTTCTGCTGGGATTAGGCATTGTTTTTTTTTTCTTCCAGAAAACGTATGAATATGGGCAGGTTGTCTGCTCAGAGTCTGTTGTTATGGTTTCAGTATATCATAATTAGATTAAATAATTTCATATGCAGCAAATCCAAGCTTTTTATACTTATTTAGGCTAATAAGGCTAGCAGGAAGAGTGCATTCAGTGCCTTAAGTGCACTTTGTGCAATTGTGGGGACTTTTTTCCTCCTGCAATCAATAAATCAGCTGAAGAGTAGGTACAATGTCATCCCACCAAGATGTTCTTTGGTTGACTACAGTCCGAGAATCTCTAGTGATCCAAAGGCCTACAGCATATGCTTTAATCACAGCAACAAGAAAGACTAATTTCAGTGTCGAGAGAGCTTATTTTACTTAATAGATAAAACTGTCAGGTTTTTCTATTTATTTTAGGTTCGTGAAACTGGAGGCAGTGAATGGAGCCTGTCTACCAGATACACAGCGTATTGCAGTGGTGTATATAAATATGTCAGTGTATGAGAAGTACATAGAGATAAGGTTCGAAATCAGTCAAGCTGGTCCTCCAAGTGGCTTTGAGCTACGCTAGAAAGCAGTCCTATTAAAAAGCGTCCCGGTCAGAATTTGACCTTACCTTATGTAGCCCACGGCAGTCTAGGAAGGCTGTTAGCTGGTGCACACTGAACTCAGTGGAGTTTAGCAGTCGCTGGATCCCCAAAAGGTCTCTCTGTATAACAAGGTATGAGAGGGGAGTGAATGATATACACTTCTCCACAGCCTGGTGTAATAGTGTGTCTGCCAGCCACTTACCTCAGCGGTAGGAAAGATGGGCACAGAGAACTGCAGCAGGCCCTGGATCTGGATTTGCATGGTGGTCAGAGAACGCCGGCAGATTGTCAAAGACTGCAGAAACATAATCACCCAACACATCACACACACACACAAAACATTTACCACAAACAATGAGTGGATCTTATTAAAGAGAGTATTGTTTGGGAACAGCGTGTCAACAAGTAATTTGGTGTTAAGTAAGGCTTTATAATGCGCTTAACGGAGGACACATTTCTTTCCAGACAGATAGGCCCAGATTATCCTTTGCCACCAACCGTCTCGCCCACCACCGTCCCTCCTCCCATCCCTTCCACAAAAAGCAATATTTATATCAACTAGGCCATCAGACAAAAGATCATCCCTACCTACTTAACAGGCATCGTTTTAATCCATAAATGGGTACTGTGATGATAACTAAGCATGTGGGTTTTAATAATTACTGATCGTGGATTTATCCTTAACAAATTCACTCAATACATGTCACACAACTGCTTATATATAAAAATAAATAAATAAATAAAAATCCTCATCATACAAAAAGTAGACTACCAAAAAAAAAAAAGAAGTGGAATCACACTGAATTCTCATTGAAACGTTGCGCTCAAGTGTGTGTGATGGCAAAGTGAAGCATTATTCAAGAAGGAAAATCTCCTCATCTGTATGTGGGCATCAGATACACACTGAGCAATAACTAAGAATTGTATTTGTTAGACAAGGATATATATCTAAGTCTGGTTGCCTTGAAAACAAGCAATTTCTGAATAGCAGCAGTTAAATTCCAGGGTTGTGATATTCAAGCTGCTCAGGTTTTGTTGAGATTGTGCTATTTCTTTTTTTTTTTTTTAAGGCCATTTTAATATAATCTGCAATTTGAGTGCAAATAATTAGCCTCTTTGGAACATGTGAGTGTTCTTAAAGTTGCTTTGAAATGTCACAAATACAAGAAATGATAAACAAACATGTTCTAACACTGAAATTAATTAACACAGCTTGAGTGGCCTATGTACAGTAGCTGCCTTTTTGCATGGTATAAATCAAAAATGTTTCTAATGAGAGGCCCCCAAGGCAAAGATTATGCACAGGGTAAATGATTTGGGGGACTCGCATATTAAAAACGAGTATTTTTGATTAAAGTTTACCACTTTAAGTAATTTAATCAGTGTTGGGGGTCTCATTTTTCAGAACATAACATATAATGATTTTGCTGCCTGGTATCTAACAAGTTAAAAACTCATTTTGAAATACCAATACATTTTCCAGCATGTGATTCTTGGTAAATAACTACATGTGCATGCAGACAGCCACAACTCCGGACGTTTAGTCAATACCTGTTGGAAGGGGTTTGGTAGATTCGGCCTGCAGAACAAATAATAGTGTGCAACATCTGGAAGGCGGGGGAAACAGAAAGATTAGCATGGTGGTTAACATTCAGTGACAGAGAGCTGGTGTCTGTGCAATTCTGCTTGTAAAGACAAATTACCTGCACTGAGAAAATCCTTGGTTTGGTTAACAATAAACTTGTCTGGAGACACACAGAAGTCACTCGTGCCCTGTCGAAAACAACACACAGTAATCTCACAAATTTGCGAGACGAAAGTAACGCAGTGTTCACTGAGGTCACGATATAAATCCAAATTGTTGTGCCACAACTAAGTAAAACAGACACCACTGACAGTTGCTCAGCAAAACAAATCATTAAGTTTACAACGTATTTATCACCCTTTAACTCCGCAGGAATAATACACCTGCAGGCACACACATATCCATGGAAAATGTGTGGTATGTAGCAACAGACATCAAGCATTATTGATCATGTCGAGCATGTCACGCTTTGCTGACCATGGATGAAATCACCTAAATATTTTTATGCTCTTTAATTCGTCCATGGAGAGCTGCTAATGTGCATGCATAAACAGTTATGGGTCAAGGTCATGCAATCTCTGTGCACTTATTCCCAGAAGATAAAAACATGGCTATTAAAAAGAAGGAAAAAAAAGACAAATAAACAGAATAATTTCTCACGTGCATGCATAACTGCCAGTTGGGCAGAATAACAGGCTGCAATGCAAACTGCTAAAAAATTAAAGGGATCGAGCAATGTGTTAGGATGCAGGATCTAACATAAAAGCTTTCTGTTAGGTCGTATTTATTCCTAATATAGTCTCATGTTCACGGCTGTTTATGTCATCAGGAGGTGTCTTTCAACAGCTTGTCACTGTAAAGCTCAAAGGACATTACAGTGAGCAAACCTACTTTGATTTTACAAAAGCGATGATCAACAAAACAAATGATATAACGATGCATACGACGCAACAAAGTAAAACATACTGGATTACAACTTTAAAGACAAAAAAAATAGGCCTTCATAACCATGAGTTTCGATTCCCATGTCGAACTTCTTTATTCTTTCACCTCATTTTTATGATTTTGAACACCCCCTGAACGCAGCTGCAATCACATGACATTTGTTTTCAGCAGCATGTCAGCCACTGTTAGGATGTTAGCCTTCATCTCTATCTCATTATACTAGCGGGGACATTTTGTTTATGCTGGTCTCATCAAATATGTATAAATTTGAGTATTTTCTAGGACACTGCCATCATCTACATTCTTTTCAAAAGGCACCGTGTTTTCTCACATGCAGTTTTTTAATAATGATGTGCAGGTGCAACAAGTTTGCTCGCTTGTTTTGCATGCTGTCCCACATTCAGTTTCTATTACTGAAGACCTTCTGCTATGATTCACTACTTGGTGTGGGGGACTAGCCTACCTATTAATAACTGGTCAGGGATATTTACCTCAGCTAACATCCCAACACCGAGAGAGAGCTGAATGTTAAAGACAAGCTTTGGATAAGCTGACCTGGAAGGTCAGAAGTTTAATATGGAATCATGTGTGGCAATAATAAGCTGAGCTAAGCCAAAGGCACCATCCAAGATACTGGTCATTTGGCTTTATGGCTGCAGAGAATTTGACCAAGAATCACAGCAGCTGTCTGTGATTCACACCCATGTAGTTAATTTCAAGTTAAAATCAGCTACCGCCCCCCCTCTGCTTCATCCTCTCTTCCCCTGCAAAACAGCTGTCAAATCTTGTGGGATAATCCACAGATGTGAGGTTTCTCTGCAGGAGGCAGGGAGATCAAGGAGAGGATACAGTGGGCATGAGGGATCGAGGAGGGCTGGAACAAGGGGTTGCTTTCTGTACCCCAGACAGTGTCCCTAATACGAGCACCATTAAACACGGTAAGCCCAGATGCGCCGAACACATGGTGTGCAGCCACAAAGACAGAACAGTCTGTCAGAAATAAGGAGGCCTGAAAGAGAAATAAAACTGAGCTCAACGACAGAGGAGATTTCGAAGAAAGCAGAGCTAGCAATTAGGGCGAGAAAGGTGCTTGTTTACAGAGGGGCTAAGGGCTGTGCCTGAAAGACTGGGGGGGGGTGTAATCAGCTTTACTGCATGACTGACCTCAGAAAAGAGCTCGCTGCAACTTAAACAGATATAGACACTTTATAAGCGGCTGAGATGTTCAAATGTTTGTCCACGTGTTTACTGACAGTAACACTCTTGGGAGGAATTGCATGGGATAGGGAGCAAAACACAAGAACCACTGCGGTCCAGCAGGTTGTGCACAGGGTCGAGTATGTCTGACGGATTTCACTGAATTAATTAAATCAACAAAGCAAGTGTGTTGGAGGGTTTTAAAGAAATACACTTTTTTGTTTTCTCACCACAGCTGTAGCAGTAGCAGCTCCTAGCGAGGCCCAGCTCAGGATCAAAGACAGCGCAACAAAACCCATGATCCTGCAGGAAAAGTGCAAATGGGAATGGGTGTGGGGTGGAAGGAGGAGGAGTGGGGTGGGTGACAGGGAGAATCAGATAAAATCAGTTTGTCTTTGTACCAGTGATCTTCAGCCCCCTTTTCACCCAGTTAATTTGATTTATTCTTTGGGCTTTTACTTGGAAATTGTTCTCCCTTTGCCTGAAGACAGCGGCTTAACTTGCACAGAGCACCGTATATTAGATCATACAGCGGAAATTCAATTTATTATAGAGTGATATAATGATAAATTAATTCATGATTCCCTGTTTAATTTACTTGTTAGGCCTTGATTAAAATAATAAAAAAAATCTATTCAGAGTATGTTAAATTGAAGCAAAATAATTGTTCAATAGAGGGAGTCTGACGATTTTCCATCTCTTTTGTTATTTCTGCTCTGCCGGATTCCAGTATTTTACTCGGCTGCACTTTCTGCCAGACATGATGTATTGGCTTTAAGTCACTGCAAACTGTCACTGTCAATCAAAAGTTGCCACGAGTTTTTTTGGTTTGTTAGCCTCTTGTTTTATCTGACCCCTTTTGTCTGAAAGGAGTGACAAGTTCAACGGAGTCTTAACATTGTAAAGGCGCATGTAAAATGTAAAAAAAAAGAAGAAAACATTCCATTATCAACAACAACTTCTTAGAGACCACTGGCAAACGCTTGAGAAAGTGCAGAGAGCGGGAGGTACTGTAGATAAATCAAGTAAAAAGAGAAGAATGACCCCCTGATGGATGTAAAAAGGCTGAAGAGGGCTTCGCTTCTCAACTCACTCCTCGGACCTTCTTGAAAGCACCAATAAAGCAGCCTGAGAGCGCTTAATAATTAGTTAAGGGAGCAGACTCATCCTATTCAGGCGATCAATAGGCATTAGTGAGGCCCATCAGAGAGGGATGTGAAGAGCGATCCCGAGCATCATCTGCTAACATTGACACGTACGTTGCACTAAATTGGGCAAATGGGATGGGAAGTCGGGATTGTGGATTTGCTTGTCAGACATCAGTGTTGGTTTAAATTACTGGCTGCAATTTACTGAATCAAATGTTCTTCCACTGACTCTTTCTATTGCTTTCATTGCTTTGGAATCTTGTCTCTCAAGCAGTTTGACTGAGAATATAGTGGTGTAAAGCTGCCTTTAGCTGTATGTAGAAATGAAAGGCAAGCCACTCAGGAGAGAAATAAGGCCAGTGCCTCTGTCAGGGCTATTTCAGGATGTAATACTATCATTTGTGTTGTTAATGGAGTGACCTATATGGTGCCAGAGAGGCTGACTGGTGCCCCGTCTGTCTGCGGTCTATGAGCAGAGACTGGTGAGAACAAAGAAGTACCTCAAGACAAAAAGAATGTTAAACAAAAAAAAAAGGCCTCTGAAACAAGATGAAAAGCAGATACCTCCACATAAAGAATGAGGGTACCTACGTGATGAGCAGACACTGGGAGTGTTTTGCCATCCCCAAGCACATGGCCAGGCAGATGACCAGATCCAGGATGAGCAGCAGCAGGTAAGTTAGCCATCTACAAGGCAGGAAAATAAAACACCAGTGTAACGATTCCCATCACTCACTTTCACTTACAGACAACATTACTCATGCACATGTACGAGCCTCAGGAAGCGCTGCTCCAACATATGTTCGGGGCTGAACATGTGAGATGTGTGCGTCGTATATCAGCATTCCTCTCTCCTAGTTAGAGCCCATCTGTTTCAGGTAATTTCCAGCTTCTTGGCTTAATAATTCAACACCACAAATCCATAGACATTAATTTTTAATTTTTCTTTGAGAATGTCCTTCACAGGAAGGGCTCAGCCTGGACTTCTCGTGTGTGCTTTCTGTCCAGCCGAACACGAGGGAACTCCTGCGACTCATTCCTAACTCCCTAAAAGTAACAGAAAAAATACATAAAGGATGCCACACATACAGGAAAATCCCCACGATGTTATATATTGACAGGAACTGGCTGTGGCGTACCTGTAGCATAATCGGAAATCTGTGCACGAAGGTCAGCAGAGAATATGATTCTCGCTTTTCACAAAGAAGTCCAGAGGTACTCTAATAGACTTTGAAAATAAGACTGTCCATTCCTTTTGCTCACAAAAAAAAGGGCATGTGAAACACTAAAGGAGATTGCACTTTACCTTTTCTGCATAAGCATAACTGGGGTATTTTTTCTGAGCAGAGGGACAGGGATGGATACAGAATAGAGAAGGATATAATACTGGAAAACTGAATGGGTATCTTCTTTTATTTGCCTTGTTCAAATAACACTGGAGTGGCCGTAACATTTGCTGTTCATCAATAAAACCCTGCTGCAGGCTGTTCATAGCCCAATAGCTGCATGAAATCCAATCAAGACCCGGGAGATTGGTGTCGGGCAACTGCAGTCCAAAAGAATATCTGGTGTCCGGATACAAAGAACATGCTGTGCGAATATGTTTGTATGAAATTAATGATAGGAATATTGTATCACTACCAGTGGTACAAAAGCAGTTATTTGTGCTTTGTTGTGCCAGGAACTAGAGACACTTGCTGTTACTGTAGCTGATGCAATAAGGGAAAACCTAGCAATCCAATGTATGCTGTATATCAAGCTTTCCAAAATCTAAATACATATTCTACAAGAGGTGGTCTAAGACTGCCTATCTTGTGCGTTAGTAGTGGCTAGGTGACTAAGACAGTTTTCCATAGAAACAAAGAAAAAAAAAGCCTCAGAACAAGCAAACAAAGTGATAAGCAGAGCTGTTCATTTTCTTGTTGCACATAAATAAGCAGAATGCATATCTTTTGTACATTTTGAGGCTTAATTGTAAGTGTGTGTACTCCAGCACTGGTGTGTGATGTTGGCAATACAACACTTTCACTACAATTTTTCATTCAACCAAATAAGAAGCGTAGCAGGTTGAACACAAATGCATTTTTTTTTTTATTTGCCACTCGAGTTAAACTGAATCAGCCAGAGGAATTGTTCGCACTGTGTTTCAGAATCAAAGAGTGCAGTGTACTTCTACTTACATCTCCAACACATTGGGACAGATAGGATGACATGAACGTGTGTGATGACCTGTAGGTACATGCTAGAAACCCTGCTTCCTTATTAACACTCTCTCCACGGTATGCTACGAAAATTCTTTTGCAGAAAGCACCATGCCATCCTAAATCCGTCGCCTTTTAGTGGAAACAAAGTTACTCTACAAGCACAGTAATTAACAGACTGCAAATGGTGCAAACCTTGGGGCACAACAGCATGATGAAGTTTTATGTACTCAAAAATAAAACAAGCTACAGATGCTATTAAATTGCACTTCACCTTACATTTCCCACTTAACTTACAGTTCTGAGCAGCAGCCTTTCTAGCCTCATAAATTTGCCTCTTGAGTTAATTCTGGATATTTTATTCATTTGAACTACTTATTGTTCCGTGGGTGTGTGTTTTTTTCCTGTTTATTAAATTGGATTTTTGGCCTTTTTCCTCAGTCTTTGAAAAGAACAGAGTTCATAGAAAGAGAACGACATCAAAATAATAACTGCAATCAATGTGAGCAACAGTCTGCAGGTAAGGAGATCATTTATGGTCTAATAGCTACTCTGCCATGCATAACATTCTGTGAGAGCAATATGTAATACAGCTCAAACTGCACAGTGGGAGATAAGCTCAATTTCAGCTTTCATTTATGTAGCAATCAGGAAAAATAGCTTTTCCGGTCTGTGTTCCGGAGGGAAGATCAATAAAATCCCATCTGCTCTGTGTCTGCTCTGCATCACTTATAGTCCCATTCTGAGCAGCATGTTTACTTCAGCCACACACAGACGAAATAAAATAACGTCCATCACCCCAGGGGAGTCACCAGGCTCCACCCACCTGTAATACTCAATGAAAGCCGTTTGGTCGGCAATGGCTGCCAAGTCAACATTGGCTTTGCTGATGTCTGGCAGGCCAGTCAGCTCACGAATGACATTGTTGACCATCAGCTGCATGAAGCCCAGCGCTTGGAGGTAGTCAGCCCTTTTAGCAAATATCTCATCCAGGCGTTCAAGGTGTTCTTTAAGTCCAGTTTCCACGCTGGCCAGAGATCCTGCAACCTAAAAAATGTAAGAAAATAAAAGACAATAGGAAGGGTAACAGAATAAGGAAAATAGAGTCAGAATGAAACAGGAGCATAAATACATCCATAAAACCAGATATTCTTTAAAAAAAAAAAAAAAAAGCAGATTGAAAATACATAGAGAGGTGAAAGAACCAAAGGAGCACTCCCTCGAGAAAAGATTAACTTTTCTCTTCAAGCGTGTGTTTTATTCAGATAAACAATGTTAGAGTGGAATACTGATAACAATACCAGGGAGACCTGTTATCACAGGGGTCTTTGATAGTGAGAACAGAGTGGGAGGAAGCACGGTGGAATAGTAAATACATTTTACTTTCTCTGTTTGAACAAAAACAATGTAATGCAGTAAATGCTGGCACTTTTATAGCATGAATAATACCAGAAACAAGTTAATTTTGACATGGATGCTGACAGGTGGGAAACTGAGAATCACAGCAACATTATCTTGTAGATAATTGTTTTCAAGTGACATTAAAAGCACAATTTACCTTAAAAATGTGAAGTAAAGGCCAAACCTGCCATTGAAACTGAAAATATATCACCAAAAAACTACGTTTCAGTGAGGTTTGACAGAGCGGTTTTACATCTGTCGTAAACAACAGTTTGACATTTTGGGAAATATGATTTCTTTCTGGAGGAAAGTTAAACGGGTAAATAAAAGGCTACAGCCAGCTCTTCATAGGTCAGCTTAGCGCAAACACTAAAACAATAGTTAGCATAACATCTGTCATTTTAACACTGAAGTCCAGAAAATTACCTTAAAATTGCTCAAATGGGGCGCCGCTATAGCTCACCTGGTTGAGCTGGCCGTCCCATGTGCAGGGCTACAGTCCCTATGTGGAGGTCATGAGTTCGAATCCCGCTCATGACCCTTTCCCACATGTCCTCCCCTCATTCTTCTCCCCTACTTTCCTGTCTCTCTCTGACTACGCTATCCAATAAAGGCACAAAGGCCAAAAAAATAAAATAACTTTAAAAGTTGCTCAAATGCAAGACATAGTCTGGCACATTTGTGCCTTTGTGAAGCAAAGAAGATGCAACATCATTTGTTAACTTTAAAAGTCATTTAAGATGGTTTTAGTTACTTTTAGTCTGGACAACAGTTTCCACCTATTTTCATTATTTTTGTTGAATTCAGATGACAAGATGCTGCTTGTAGAGTGCCATCAATCTTGTTTTGTTCTTAAATGATCATCACCACCAGTTTGGGTTTGGGAGGCAGACACCCTCTTTACTTTTGAAATTTGGCTTCAAGCTTTCCTCTTTGATAAAGCTGAAAGTTAGAGCTGCTCAGGATCACCTGAGCCGTCCCTTAGTTATGCTGCTGTAGGTTTAGACTGCCGGGGGATTCCCATGATGCACTGGGCTCCTCTCCTCTCCTCTCCTCTCCTCTCCTCTCCTCTCCTCTGTTTAACATTCGTAAGGTCCTTACCTTACTGTGTGAAGTGCTACGAGATGACAAATATAAATAAAATAAAATTGAATTGAATTGAAATACCTGAATGTTTAGGAGCTTAAACAAAAACAACAAGGATTTTGTCATGAATAGAGCAGTTTTAACTGTAACAGATTTACCAGAAGACAGACACACACACACACCTACTGCTATGACTTTGCAAGAGCACTTAACATTTCATTGAGAGTAGGAGATGTTGCGCTCTGTATTGTAATTCACAGCACTTTGCAGCGGTCCCACTTTCTTTATCTATTATCTTCTCTCCATTATACCCATGACTTCTTCAACAAACTCAAGAATTTCTAGTGAGACTGTTCATTCCCACACTATGAAAACTCACCACAAAGAAGATAAAACTGTATCTCTGTCTCCTTGACACTATAACATTTCAAACAGCCTTGATTAAATTTTACTGAGTCGATGTTTCTGATGGTTTGTAAGTAAGACCCAAGAAAGAGTATCCTGGCGAAGATGCAGCAGAGATACAGGCCCATCCTCCACTCCAGCAATCCCACGGGGTTGAGTGTGTGATTGCCAGTAAACTGCTCTCACTCCCCACCGCTATGTTCATCATCCCTCACAGTTCCTGCCACAACGCCTAAAATCTTATCTGCAAGCCAGTCTGCCTGACTGTGAGAAATGGGATCCATCAGCTAGCTGCTCTGGGTGATCCACATTTCCCTAATCTGGACTGTCCCGTCTTCCTTTAAAATGGATTAAAGCTCGCTTTTACTGAAAGCGGGTCACAAGGAGGATTCTCCATATTGGATACGCCTGTTAAATGAGACTGACTGATTTGAGGCTCACAGCAGCTCTGCTCGAAATGCCAATTTTACATGCAACTGAACTGTCCTGCTTAATGCTTTCAGTGATTTTTATACAAGATTTACTGTAATAACTGTGACAATAAAACAATATATACGATGGCAGCACTTTAAAGTCAAGCAAGGTTATACAATGAGAAACAGGACCCTGAGGAGAGACATTTAAAGGGAACTGATGTATGGTGCAGAAAATAGCAATCATTTTGTTCCAAGAGTCACGAGGCAGCTTTCACTTTCAAAAAAAAAAAGAGCCATACGTAAGCGAGTAACCACTGTTGTAAATTGGAAACAGACATTTTGATATAGTGTGATTGCCATGTTTTCTCATCCTTTATTCCCTAGCAGCACTGAAGAGCCCTTAATACTGCAACCTGAACGCTGGAAATATGGCTGAAATATTGAATGTCTGTGAACAATCAAAAGCCCCCTTCAATAGCAAAGGCAGGATGGCCCTCCTCATCAAATCTTTCCTTCTATGACACATGATAATCCCTGGCAGAGTGTGAGAGTGCATATTTTATGACGAGGAGAACCTCAAAAAGCCATCAGGAGAGCCAAACAGCTCCGAGTGTAAACCATCAACCTCTCGAGAGCCTTGAGAAGCAGAGATGTGGCTGCTCCTGTTCCTATTTACTGACAAAATGTCTTTAAGGCTTTGAATTAAAGCAAACTTCTCCAGTGATTACTTTTGAACCAAGTTAACAGAAGCATAAATGAAAGATGAAAAAAAATAATAATAATGGGGAAACGAATAAAGAACAGGAGAGAAATGACTATAAATCACAAAACTAAACACAGACTAATGCACCTTTGGCGTTATAGGATGGCCAGCTCATCAGCTCTGTAAGCGGAGGACATGACATCAAGCTATAATTCTGCATGTGAGAAAGCCTTTGTCTCCCCAGGGAACATCTATGCTTCTCATGCTGCCATAGTATACATCATGCTATGGGACCAAATCAATACCTAGATACCTAAGAGACAGTCCATAGCAAGGATGCAGAATCATCACAAAGTACTACACCCTTTCCCAGGTTATTTATTATACCAAGTTGAAAATAAAGCAGCCTAATACAATAACTCAGAAATATTGTATCTGCTTGCCTTTATGAAGGGTGTTATTTTCCGTTTTTGTTGAAACTCCTTTGGAGATGCGTTGATTTAACTTTATGGACATTTTTGGAGGTTGTAGTTTGTGGTGCTGCTGAATAATAGTGCATTATACTGAGAAATGTTTCTGGTTATCTACAACCACATATATAGCAAATGTGGCTGATAGCACAGACATTTCTCAACATAATGCACCATTATTCAGCAGCGTTGCAAACTACAACCTCCAAAATGACCATAAAGTTGAATCAACACACAACGGGTTCACAAATTTTCGAGCACTACTGTATCTCAGTGAAGGCTGACTAAACCGAGGGTCCAAAATGACCATTAAATTGAATTAACACCTTTTCTAAACAGTTTCAACAGCAGCAAAAAAAAAAAAAGAACATATTTATAAATGTATTAGTTTACTGCAGGGTGTAAAAATAAAGCATTTCCATATCCATCCATCCATATCCAAATCTGTTTTCTCTTTATGTGCAGTGATAGTCAGCAGCATACGCTAATCTGTTTGTGTCCATACATTAATGCAATAATGTGTGCATATGAGCCCTTCAAGTGGAAGCGTGATACTGACACGATCATGCCCACAAACACACGCATGCAGTCCAGATAGTAAGACTGAGCGAGATGGAAATAGGAGAGGCTTAACATCCATTAGTGCACTGCAGATGGGAGTTAATCCTCTTCTTGCTCATTGTGATTATTGCTTCTTGCAAGGCCTTCCCTGTCCCTCCTCCACCCTAAGCCTCCAAAATAACTTCCCTGAATGCAGGTCAGGAGTTGCATAGAAATATTCCCTATTTACAAATCCTGAGACAGCAGTCACCTCAATTCCTTCACTGTAACAAAAAGTGGATATAGACCCCCTGCAGTGTGGCGCTGCTTTGAGACAGATGTACACCTCATTATTATAGCAGGATCAATGGTGTCTAGCAGCTGTAAAACAGTGCTTCCAAGCAGAGTGAGACACTAAGCCACGAGATGATCATGCCTTTGCCACCAAAATGCTGGCAAGTGTTGGTAATATAAGTATGGGGTGAGCATTTATTCACAACAAAATTAGTGTTCTTGTTTTACACAACTCTTGACACTTTTATTGCCTGGTCAGCTCACACTGAATCTGCTGGAAAAATTGTTAAATTGCAAGTGTTATAAATAAAAACCATTCCCTAGACCACATTTAATGCTTATGATGTTATAATTGTAGATTGTAGAGCAAAGCTTGGCATTCGTCCCTCACCAGATTGTTGATGCCACCCAATGTGTGATTGGCATTGTAGAGTGAGTAGGTCAGCTGGTACACCCCGTCGTTGGTCTCACTGTTCCCATAGAAACCCACTCCTACAGCAGAGCTGCGAAAAGGAGGAATCGAGATGAAATAAATGAGTAAACAAACACAGTTAATTTGCGCTTCATCATGCCTATTCTTGACCATGGACTGAATGAGGTTGTTAAGACATGTTATTCATAACACCAAGAGCAAAAATGCAAAAAGGGAATTTTAAAAAGAAATCATGCCAGTTCTGTATTTGTAAGACGGCTTAATGAAGTATGTCTTAGAATATATTTTGTTCTGTTCTGCTTGCCTCTCTCATCTCTCCACCTTGCTGCCATATGGGCTGGGATGTTGTGAAACTGGAGCAGCTAGAATAAAAAAAAAAAGTATATGTGTGTTTCCATATATATTAACTGCTATATATTAAACATACTAAACCTCTATGTTCTGCAGTAAATTTGAATCTGTTGACCAATTCCCAGCTAAAGCCACATCAAAATTCTGTTTGACATCTGAAAGTGTATCCAGGTGGAACACACAGAATCCCTGTTCCTCACCTCCGTGCAGCCTTTTGAGACTGTGTCTGAGCCTCTGCAACAGGAAGGATTAGTGTCCCTCCTAACCCCCAGAGCCACTGGACCCCTACTGCTAACAGTCTACAGTACCATGAGCAATGGTATAATTTCGCCATACTCGACTGCAGTAAGGTCATTCTACACAAAGGTGAGACACTTTTGACTGCACTGGGGGGTGGGGGGTTCCACAAAACAGGGAACTCATCAATCACACTCCAGATAGCAGCAGAACAGAGCTGAACTGTTGTTTCTGGGATACACAAAGGTAAACTAAGTCTTAGTTTACTCTCACTGCGACTCGTATATTGAGGACTTTTAACACCATCTGTGCTGCAAAAGAACAAAAAATTCAAACACAAACAGTCAGGTAGACACATGGCCAAGGCTAAAATCCTCTTCAGCGAAACAAAGTTAGGTTAGTAGAAGTTTGATAAGCTGATGTGGTGTTTTGATTTGAATTTAGAGTCCAATATATGCTGTCGGGGAGTGTGTGATAACAGCGGTGTGAATTCTAACGTCTCTGCCATTAACTGGAAGTGAATTCAAATTAAAAGATGAGAGTGACTGATCATCACTCTACATTAAACGGTCTTCATTAGAACACATATTTTACCATTTCACCAAAAACGACTGTGTTGCGTTTACTTTCCCTCTCATTCACTCTGTGTGCAAAAATATGTTAATAACTCAGTGGTGTAACTTGTTGCCCAGGTGTTTCCTTTTTGCACGGATTGTTCACATATAAAAGAGCAGTGGGTGTCAGTGGGTACTTTCATTTCTTTCTGTCTTTTATGTGTTGAGATTGCAATCGCAGCCAGAAGGCATAAAGCAACACCAGAGAACCGACTATGACAGAAAAACAGCTCATCTGCAAGACGAGAAAACATTTAGTTTTGTCAGTGAGTCGTAGAGCTGTGCATCAAAGGGCAATGTAATCGAATATTAGATTTTATCACTTTTATTTCCTTTGAAAAATAATCTGTTTAAGTACTTTCGCACATTCAGTCTGAAAAATGTTAACAAAATGTATGTGCATATGAAAAGTGTGGAACAGGCAGTTTGTCTCTTTGTCATGTTTCGATCACAATTTTCACAAGTAAAAACATTCAGTTTCACTCTACTCTTTAGATACTTTTGGAGGACATGTAGGTGTGTGTTATTTGTTGAGTTCGCCAGCATCCCACAGCATGTCATCTTCGAAGTATAATGAAGAAGACTGCCTGTTTCTTTTCTACTGAACTAGTTCCCTCTGGTTATGATTAGGGGCATTGGGGGCATTTTCTATTCAATCCAGTCTGAGCAAAAGAATAAAATGAAATAAAATAAAATAAGACACAATTACGGTAATCTTCGCGACCCAAACTGCATGAACGTGGTTATAAAATTACTTCATTCAGCTGGTTAAAAGAAACTTAATTTACTCCATTCACTCTCCAGAGGTCAAAAATAATCATCCGCGGAAGTGCAGCAGCTCTTAAGTCCTTTCAAATCCTTCTACAGTGCAACTGAAATGCAATTTTTTTTCTCAAATATCACACTGAATTAAAAGCTGTAAAAAGTCACCGGAAGAGTCATGATGAACAAATAGATCTTTTTAAAATGACATGGAAGTCCAAGGAATTACTGTATGTCTCTACCCATTGTATGTAGCAGCACATGACACAGAGGAGAGCTAAAAAAAAACATGCAGTTTTTAGGCAAGAGTTTCTATTTTTCATCAAATCCAACTTTCTGATATGTTCAGTTAAACTCATCCTGCTCTTGGTCAGAACTTCCACCAAGAAACAACATCAGTGAGCAAGCACATGAGTTTAAACAATAAAAACCTCTCAAAAATTAGTGGAAGTCAAGTTTTTTTTTAATGTTATTAAACTTGTCTGTATGGTGTTTTTTATATGCTTGAAGATACACAGTCTCAAAAACAGTATTTTGGGGTTTTATATGGAACAAAATCAAGGAATCAATCCTGCCAACTTATGAGGTTTGACTTTTTGTATCATTAACCTTCAGAATCAGTTTCTAGTTCAAGTATATATGGTTCAATTGCTCCAGTATTACAACTTGTCATTTTTGTAGTGTAGAGTTGTTTTATGCTGTTTAAGCAGAGAATGAGGTGAGCTGAGGTGCTTGAGCTACAGCGAGTGGTAAGGAGTGGTTGGACAGATAGGACTTCGCAGAGTTGCAGCTAAGCCACTTGAAGGCATTAAGGATTCTTTTCATGGGGGAAATAAAACTTCCAAATATGTAACTTTAATGCATGGAAATGAGTTTTTAGGGATTTAATCAGTGAGCAGAGAGGGACTTTAAAAGGAACACAGTCTCAAGCCAAAGATAACATACTATTAACAATTAGCAAATTTTATCCGGTGGGAGTAAAACTCACTGCACATGTTGTTTTAATCCACTAAACTTCACCTGCAATGTAAAGTCTCTTCAATCCCATATTTATTCATGGCTAGATTATTTAAGTGGTTGCCGTATGAGGTACTTTATTTGTTTAACTGAACTGCAACAAGCGTCTACACAGAGAGCGGAGAGCTCTTAGCACAGACTGTATGCCGGTGCCTCTTTACTAAACAACATCATGCCTAATCACTTAGCGTTACAACAGCCCCGTGTGCTGTGGCAGCGGCTGAGAGTTAACCAAGTTAAAGCCCAACACCGTCACAAGATTAGACAGATCTGTACACAAATTCAATCAAGCCTGTCGGGGACCCATTTGTTCTCTTTCACTTCTGCCAGAACATTTTTTTTAATCAAAGAGTATTAAATCATACGCAGAAGTACGACTATGTCAGACAACGTGGCTCTGGAAGTTTTATAGAAGCTCCCTGGCAGATTTTGCTTGCACGGATTGTCATTACAAGCAAAATGCCAAAAAAAGAAATAATAAATCCGAGATGGTTAAAACATTTAAATGAATAAATGTTATGGGCGTGATTTAGCAATCTGATCACTGCTGATGATGTGACCTGGCAGAACTACAGCAGCTTTACTAGCCCCATGTGTATCCTTTAGGGTGAAAGTGGTCAAGCTCAGTGACAAGCAGGTTTGGTTTATGCACAGTGGTTGTTTTCAGTGTAACCTACAATGTTGTCAACTTACCTTGGAGGAACTAACAAATCTGACACTGTAATAAAAAAAGGCATAAATATCCAGCAGTTGTTTGATACCTATTAGAATGTTGAGTATAATTTTCTTCCACACTCCCAGGCTTTATTGGAGCTTTGATAACCAAACCAACATTAGCTACTACTCATCCAGACATTATCTCAATGAATACCTGGATTAAACTTTTAGTAGATTTTTTATTATTATTTCAAAAAAGGAATGATCATTCGACAATGACAAACCCAATGTCTCACACTCACCATATGATGAGACCTGTGATGACAGCGACCCAGGTGACACAGCAGGTATTAGGCCTTTTGGTATCTTCATCTATTTCTTTGCGGCAGCAGCACAAGCACACCAGGAATATTGCCAGAACCAGCAGGCTCAGACCAAGACCCACGGCACCAACACATGCTAGAAATATCAAAGACTGGGGCAGAAAAGGAGAAAGAAGAAGAAAAGAGCCAAAAAAAATAAAGATGCCATCTGTTAAAAGTCATGATTAAGACGTGATTTTATCCTGAAAATAAGTCAAGAGCTTTTCAGCATATTGTATCCTCAAATGTCTATAAAGATACAAAGAGCTGTGATGTGTGGTCTCGGGGTGTCAGGCTAGCTGACCCCACCGCCCAGAAGGTCGACTGCTGAGTGAAAACAACCCACCGGCATCAAACAACACTCAAGTGAGGAGATATTTTTTTGAGGTTAGTGTGTGGTCATCTCATTCATATCATCAGCATTATCACTGGATAGAAAACAGAAGTTGGTGGTCATGGGGCACACACAGCTCACAGAGAACCTCTGTGTTTTCTGCCAAGTGCCATAGCAGAACTTGGAGTGTGGCTTTGAGGAAAACAGCAATGATCCCGGGCTGTGTGAGGGGAGCACCATGTGACACAACGGCTTTCATTCAGTCTTGTGATTTCTGAGAGCAGAAAATATTTGAAGGCTGAAGGATAGAAAGAAACAGAAGGAGACTGATGTAGAGCAGAAATACTTCACACAAATGGCTTGGTTGCAGACACTGTATATGAAACTACATTTCAGACTATTTAAACTGTAAACAAACAGATACAGAATTGTTAGTGAGCATTGAGGCAGATTATTTGCATCAGATTAACCCGTGTAGTATATATATATATATACACATTTATACAAGCTTACTTCCTTGTCAAAAATGTGCTGTGACCATTTCATGGAGGAAACTTTCCTGCTGTTTTAAGCAGCTCTTTTTCCACTATCCTGTTGTACGACAACAGACTCAATAATTGATCGGTTTCTCTATGCACCCTCATCAGAAAACAAATACCCAACCATCTTGACTAATGCATATACACTAGTATTGGGGCTGGCTACAACTTTCAGCCTGGTGTCCGTATTGGAACGAAAGTATTCTGGCTGCTTTTCTTTATGATTGCCAGGAATATTTTGTGGGTTTGGATTCATAATGTTTTAGCTCTTGCTTAGTGTAAAAACAAACCAGAGACAAGCATGACCTTGATTTTACTTGCAAATGATATGCATTGCAAGTTTAAATGCCCACAGGTTCAGAGAGCCCCTGTCTGGCTGACTAAGCAGAGCTGTTCCATGACTATGTTTGTGGCTAATTTTTTCATTTGGATGGCATTGACACCGTGACTGAATGTGAATTGCAGGCCTGTTGTTTTGCATATTCTAACAAAGTCCTATATTGTTCAAACTCTGTTCCAAATGATGTTGTCCTGTTTTGCTCTTAGTTTCACTAAACAGGTAGCTTAGCAATTACTATATTGTTCACCAATTAGAAATCGAATCATCAAACATTATAGTCTACCACAGTTGATTATTGACTTCCAACATCGCAAAGAATGAATGAAAGATCATGTTGTAATAACTATTACATCAGCTGCCGACTGACACACAGCACTTCACCCACTAAAACCAAAAATCAATCAATCATGCCCTAATTAGAAAATACAATTAAAGAAAATACAGCTGACGTTACATCCAATGATGACATCAATTGCATCTTGAAGTAAATAGGTCAGTCAATGGTGCCAGCTGAGCTGACCCACCTTCACTGGCACCCAGGCCAAACTCTTAATCCAATGATTTGCTAATTGTTGGTTTTGGAGGGCACCGCTGAAGAGCCAAGTCGCTGTGTGTAGTGTCTGATGGTTTCAAATCTGGTTGGGTTTTCTGTCGCTACAACTCAGTTCAGGCCCGTCATAAGCACAATGCTGCCAGTTGCGCACACTCCTCTAATTTTCCACTTCGCTGTTTTCTAATTAGACATGCAGGCACTTCAATTTCCAGGGGATGCAATGTCATAACAAGGCAACAGATGCATAAAAGAGAGTAAAAAAAGACACAAAACAACTACGGTACGGTCATTGAGCTAAAGGTCACTGATCTTTTATCTTCCTAAAAGGATGTTTGTATAAAGTAGGCTTAAGCGTGCCTGTCTAATTTAATTAAACAGCAAGCCTTAGGAAATGTGTCTGTCGCTGTTCTGCATTCTCCACTTTTCTCAGGAGACACAGATCAGCATGCCAAATGAAGAACATGAGTTATTTTCAGGTTTGAGACTGTGTCAGCCCTGCAGAATACCACAGCCTCTGTGACTTGTCAGTGACTGGCGCTCAGCTGAGGCACTGCTGGGGTTCAAGGGTGGACTTTGACACGAGAAGAAAGAAAAACAGCGCTGGATCCATATCAAAGCAAGAGAAGTTCTCAGTAATGTTTTTTTTTGTATTGAGAGATGACCTTGATTCAAAGGAGCACGCACTGCCACTTGGATACGCACATAAACACTTTGTGTATTACTTGGAGACTCACGTGAAGTTGTTGAATTTTTCAAAAAGATATAATGAGTGTAAGAAATCTTTTTCAAGTGCAAAACAAGATCAGCACTGTTGCCCTTTTGGTGTCAGTAAATATGTGCACAGAGGTTTAAATTACATTAGGAAGCAGTACTTTTTGTTACACAACGTATGAACACAAGACTTCTATTTGTCGGAATAAGTTTACTAATGTAACATTAATAGCCTGACTCATATGAACGCAATAAGCAAATTGTAATTACATTTATGCCTGTCAAACTATGTAACCCCTTTGTGATGCCATGTGACCTTTTTGGCATTGCAGTGTACTCTGGGACGATGTTCAACTTTTATAGAAATGTTATAACTAGCTATGTTTCGAGCTATCATGTATTCTGAATCTGTATTTCTCCACTGAAGCTATGATCCTGTTTATTACATGGCCAATTAAAACTGGCTTACAGACTAGGAGACAGCTGAAACTCCTCTATTCTATCAATTAAGATTCTTACTTTAGATACATGCCGTACCAACAACATCCACACATGATGCATACAACATTTCAGGACATGGACAGAGCGTGGACGAGACTGTCCACGTCACAGTAACTGACCAATTATACTCAGTTGCACACAAGTCCAACCTCTTGGCCCAGCCCAAGAAGATAAATGTGAATCATTTCCAGATATCAGGGCTCTTCTGGTAGAGATCTCGCGAGAGCTGCATCACTCAGAGCCCAGCGCTGCCTCACTTTACCTGTGTGACCTAAATAAATTCTGCATCTGTGAACTGATGATTTCTCCAGTTTGTTGTTGGGCTTCCAACTAAAGAATCGGGCTGACAGACATTTGAATCAAGTATAGATTGAATGCAAAGCAGCTAGAAAGACATGAAAAGATAAAAGTGAAGTGAATAACATAAAGAGATCTTCTAAACACATCAAAGCCGTGATAGATTGCAAATTGAAAACTATGGCAACAGCTAAGCATGAGCATCCAATATTTGCTTCCATCAAACTGTGTGTTTTATGGATAATGGCTGCTGTCCTAGCTGCCCACAGCCAGTCCCCATCACTAAACATGGAATTTACATTCACCCTTAAATGACTGTGTAAATGTACTCTGGGGAAATTATCATTCACAGCAAAAACGGTTTGTATCTTTTAGTCATTTCTCTCACAATCAAGTCTTGCTTAAAAAGAAAAATTGTGGGAAGGACAAAATCCAAAATCCCCTCCAGCTGTGAATGTGTTCTTTATGGTGTAAGGATGAGCAGTCTTCCCGTGTGTTTTCAAAGCCGGGACGGGGGACAGAAAGAAAAAGAACAACCTTAGTTGTGGGTATGGTGGGGACTGTATAGCTCCAATAAAGAACAGCTTAGTGAATATAGTATCCGAGTGTTAAATCATATAACAGATATAAAAAGATTTGTCAGATCTCACAAAGAATTGTGTAAATACATACAGAAAACATACATGCTGCTGGATATTGTTGTTTACCTCTTGGGGTAGTTCATGTACTTAATACAGATCATGTGTTATCATGTGATAACTGTACCGAGTTCTGGGTTCTCACTTCCTGATACTGGGACCAGACATGTAACGCAGCACCACTGATGCGTCTAAGGAAAGACACACTCCATCATTCAACGTAGGAGTTTGTCTTAAACGACTTTCTGTTGACCTGTACATTTAAATATGTTTACCACTCTTTTTTGAAAGTTAGTGGTCCACCACACTACATAGTTTGGGGTTTTTTTTCTACTGGGATTTTTTTTTTTTTTTTTTGAAAATACGTGCGCTTTTACGCACAAGTACAGTTACCAACCTGCTGATAGCTCGCCTCCTCCGGTTTGAAAGTGTTGTCGACCGATTGGAAAAAGAAATTGAAGTGAGGGAAATTGTGCAGCCAGTATGTCCACCACGGAGGAACGTAATCAAGCCTTGCGGTGGCCATTACTGCTTTAAAAGTCAATCCACCAAACCACAGCCGACAGGCTTCCCTTTGAGACCCTGGCACGCAAATATTCCTAGGTTTTTGCGAAAAGCGAAAATAAAAATATAACAGTAATAAAAACAAACAAACAAAAAAACACCGCGGACTCAGTGGGGGTTACAATTACCACAGAGTATCAAAACGAAAGTTCTTCTTTTGCCATTACAGCTCCAGAATAAGGCTGAATATCACTTCTTCCCTCTTCGGTTCCCATACTTGTGTGTCAACTGCTGAGTTGCACAACTACTGTAAAGTACAGTGCCGGTCAGTCGGGCGTTTGCATCCGAGACACGGGATCGAGTGACGAAAGGAACCTGCCTCCTTTCACACAGAAGGCGTGACAACCGCTCTGTAGTGGAGCGGATGAGGCCCACAGCATCAACTTATGACAGTCAAACAGCAACACAGACTGACAGCAGCGTGCATGTGGAGGGTTTGATCAGCTGAACTGCAACATGAAAATAGACAATAATAAAACAGAGCAAACTTCCAGATGACGTTGCTCCACAAGGAAGTCAGGAACCTGTTGGTTCATCTCCACATAGGAAGCAACATGCTTTTTCTTTTTTTTCACCAAGAAAACCCTACATTTTAATCACTCTTTAAGGCAGTATAAAACAAAGCAGCTCTGCACTCCATCTGGCCCCAACTTGTAGCTGCTGCTTAAGATGCAGGAGTATTCAGTGCACTATTTATGACTTGTGCTGTTAATGTCTGACCTCTTGTGGACAATGAGGCGCACTGAGGTGAACAATAATGAGGATGGTAATGAGCTGCTGCAGCCTTTAGTGCAGACTGTTGGCTTCTGCTTTTATTTACAGTGTGATGGTTGTTTTTCAGTGGTGGGAGCTGCATTTACACCTGTATCAGAATCACCACACTAACTGTAATACATGTGCAGGGATTTATTTGGGAGTCTCGGGGAGAAAATTATTTTGAGCTCACTATGGCAAACCACAGCATGGCACATACAAATTTCTTTTTGGCCAGAGGTGTGCTCCGTAGAGCTGCTAAAACACAGAAGTAAATAAGTATCACTGTGATTTATTTTATTTTATTTTTGCAGCATTGCATATAGATACTTTATTTCTATGTATAGAGGAAAATAAGGGTTGGTCAGTAAGTATGTTAACTAGCACTGGATGCCAAGGTTGTGCAATTAGCAGCATGAGTGGGGTTATAATCACCTGTTTACATGTCAGGCAAAGTGCTGGCTCCCGGGAAGAGCCTGATGATAGGGGGAAGCTGACACTAGTGCCAGTGTGCTGATATCATGTCTCAAAGTGTCTTTGAACAGAGTGAAACATGGAGTCTAAACCCTGGCAGGATGGAAGGCAGCTGATATATAAAACATAAGAAACATAAAAAATGGATGCAAATGCAATGCTTATCAAACAATTTGATTGCACAATAGATGCTAGACATTTCAATTTAAGACTTATATAAAACATATAGTGGCCAAACAGAAAAGTTTCTATGCATTTTTTTGCTATATTGCAAAATTGATTGGCACATTTCTTTTAATTTAACATTATTGTCAGCTCTTTATAAATGGCCTAATTTCTTTGATTTAAAGCATATTCCATTTCTATCGATTAGGAATGTTGTCGGTGTACTATACCATCCCTCAGTAGACAAATGTAAACAGTAAGCCCAGGGAAATCGACCAAATAAAATAGTCCGCCGGGTAGATAAAAGGGAAGATGAACATATGTCAAATGCATTTTGCCCTGAGGAGCAGTTGTTTTATCTGCATAGAGTGCAGAGGGGGGTTTGCTTGCAAGCTCAACCTTCTTGGTATCATATGGCTACCGCTGTAATTATTTGGATGCTTTGATGCACCTCCACGGCCAGAGTGCCAAGAGAGTGTGCTCAGAGTCTGAATGCTCTGAGTAGGTGACACTTGAAATGCACTGTGTGAATATGAATTTCTGACTGTGCTCTGCATTTACAAATAGTTGGATTCGGTTCCAGGAAACTCTCCGGTGATTGCCGTGCCAATCACTCTCAGTGTTTGAACCGAGGGGACCAAAGTGGGAAAAAAAGGAACGAAATGAATAAAAGTACCTCTGTCTGTGCCTCTCTAATTCAAACTACATGTATCACGTCTCCCCGTCTGCTAGTCACTTATTGTTGTAATGTTGGTGCAGACGAAACATGTCATGCTCAAACTAAATTAGGCTGAAGCTGTATGAAGTTAGGCCACCACAAGCACAGAAGTCACATTTTTCGAGCTGTCTGTTGTCAGCCAAATCCATGTTCTGAGTCTAATTAAACTTATTTGAGTGAATTATGTGAGTGTATCTTTGTGAATCAGTGTGGAAAATACTGCTCCGCTGGGCTTTGTTCCCTGGAGAGCATTGCAGCATACAGCATTCAACACTTCGATACACAGCCAATGAAGGTGAACCATTAGGTGGCAGCCCAGCACTTTTCTGCAGGGCTGAGAACCTCACACTCTCCACTGGTGTCCTCAGATTGCATATCTGTGAAGAAGAAAAACCTCAATCCATCACTTTGTGCATAATACTGCCCATAAAGTGTTAATAAAAGTCAAATAAAGATCTAATTGTAATGAACAGCAGATTATAGATCCCATCCATTGCTTTCTTGGGCCTTTCATCAGTAAGAGTCTCTGGGGTCAACCATTTGGGCACTGATGTTAAAGGAAATACATATCAAAGAGGTCTTTGAAGTCAAGTAACTGCACGGTAAAAGTGTGAAGGAATAAAGTCATATAGTGAGTGACAACTCTCAAGGTCAATAGCATTCCAACAACTCGATTGTAATGTTGAACAGAAAGCTTAAAAAAAAAAGAAGAAAAACATCTGCTGAATTTTAAATGGTGGGCCAAATATTCCTGCAGGTGATACGCCAACCTTGACTTCTGTGGGCAACCACAGATCACCCAGAGCTCACTGCAGCTGCATTGAAAATAATTTCACACCTCTGACTTGAATTGCAGAAACATCCAATTGGACTTTCCTATGAACCCTTTTTTTCCCCCCTCTAATATCTTGATACTGAATTTGTATCATGAGAAATGTATGCGATGTCTTGACACTCCTGTACACAACTTGACTGTCAGTGCACTGGTTTGCTGATGCTGTAGTCATGGGTGAAAAAAGAAAGAAAAAAAAAAAACACTCTGCACAGTCCTTGTAGTTATATAGCTGTTGCTTCTTGCTCATCATGTGCTCAAGTGTCCTCAACAAGCACTGGATTTACCTCCTGATTGACTGTCTCCATAACAATCACAGGGATGATTGGTTCATTTAAAAGTGTTTTGAAGAGGCTTGTGCCCTATCTCCCGCTTCCTATACTACTGGGATCCTTCCAAGCCGTAACAGTTACTGCTCAGTGAAATGTGGAAATTTGTTGTATTGGACTTTTCCCCCTTCATGGTTATTGCTTTTTTTGGATTTGTGACTCAAATCCCCTTGCTCTAGTTTGAGTGATTTATACATATGAATGAAGATTTATGCCTGAGAGCTCAATGTGCCGGTATTATCCAATCAAACTGGGCTGCTCAGTGGCTCCTGAGATTGCATTAAAGTGTAATATCAATGCAGCAATCCTTGGGTTATTGCCACTTTGAAATACCCTGGGTCCTTCTGATACTATAGCCACATGTTATGCTCTAGGGGATTTGTCTATTTAGGTAATGTTTCACAGGAGATTGCTGTGGTAAATTAATGAAAAGTTGCCTAACGTGTTTAATTTATTTCATCAATGATTGGATGGTGAGAGAAAAAAAAAGAAAAGAAAGAATTGTCAGCAGATACAGGCGACCTAAAAAATAAATAAATGAAAGCGAACAGAACAACCACACTAGAATCTGTCTGTATAGAAAATTAAAAAAGAGAACGGAATCTGAGACTCATGGCCAAAAAAAACCCCCCTCTATTTATTTATCTTAATGCCTCACCTTAGGTTTCTTTAGGCTCCATAAACATATTTTATTGTTCCAGTGGCTTGTAAAAATTGCTGTTATTATTTGTTGACACTGAAAGCTACCCTCGCAGAATGGCAGAAAAACACTGCAAAGAAAGAGAGGAGATAAATTCTTCAATAGTATTGCAGCTCTGCAAACTCCTCCGTGGGGTTCTTTAACGAGAAGAAGTCACAATCCAAAGCATGTTCACTTCTTTTTTTTTTTGTTCCACCACAAACTATTAATGGAGGATTTTCAATTTCTTTCTGATAAAGGAGACTGCCTTGAATCTCTAGTCTTTCTATTTTTTCTTACTAGGGTGAAATTCTTCTGTTTAGTGTGAAAATGCTCGGGGCCCTGAAGAACCCTCTGGTGTGCAAAACATTCAGAATAGTCTGCCCGAGATCTATCCCTCCAGTGATTTACCCGTGTTGACTGTCTATTCTAATCTGCTTGGTTTTTAAACTCTCTGTGTGGTTAAGCATTTAAAATGAGATTGGTCTTATGTGAGACAGCAGCTTTGATGTCATGATCACACTATTATTTTATGCAGCTGCCCAGTGCTATGAGGGCTATTTCATGCAGTAATGATTTTTGTGAGGAGAAAAACCTGAATTGGCATTGGCACATTTTTCCTTTTCTTTATTCCCCTGCAGGAAAATGGCTTTCTTAGCCTGCAATTTATCCAATTACGGATTTACAGCAGTGCAAAGTCAACCATATGATACAGCCTAAGTCTATTTTTCAGCCTTTGGAGCAAATCCAATCATTCCAAATGGTTGCTGATGGTAATAATTGCAACAGCATTGTATTGATCTAGTGGGTCCGTGGAGTGGAAACAAACAAAGCACACTCAGAAAACGAGATGGCACTCTTTGCGTGCGAAAATATTTAGCTTGTTTATCTGGCCTTTGTGACCATAGCGAGGCATTAAAATATGGGCTTTAGATTTTATTGGCTGTCAGTGAAGTGAATGTTCCCAGTGCTGCACCTATTTCCTTTATTCAATTTGTGATTGATGTGAAGGTAAAAGATGTACCTTTTAAAACGGACCAGAGAGAGACACACAGAAA